CATGCTGTAGAATCAGTTTTGGCTCCAGCCCTGCTTTATCAGGATAGTTTATCCTGGTCCAGCTGTGGCGCAGGGAATGTGTGCAGTTGTGTATTCACATGGAAAAAGAAGATCCCAGAGAGTGAGGGATGGGACAAATATGCTCCTGAAGTTTGATTCAAAAAGTGTGAATGCAAATTCCCAACTTCCTGGCACTACACTTGGATTCTGGACTAGCAAGATCCTCCCTTTAAGCACATCCCATGAACTGGAAACATTCAGATCCAAGTGTAAAATCTTCTATAATGGTCTTTAACAGTACATTATTGAAAGATGCACTACGTGGATCTTTTCATTCATTTGTCACTAAAATGAAACTCATACAAAACTCTGTGGACCTTAAAGTACTCTGTCCAAAAGGGTGGGGACTCCACCTTGCCCATACCTCACACTTCTGACATAAGACATATGGACAAATGCAAAAGCCCCTGTCTGCAACTTCAACTTTTCATTCAACATGGGCACTTTTAAAGTCCACACCCAGAAAAGCAGAACTATAAATTTGAATTTGGAACTTACAGCTGCTTTCTGTAATAACAGGATATAGGTTTGGAAAATGATATTTTTATTTTCACAAAAATGGATGTTGGAAAAGAATGTGGACAAAAAACTTCCCATTCTTGTGATCTATCTCAATATTAATTGTAAGGCTGCACATGCAAATGCACATTCAAGTTTTATAATAAAATGAATGTTATGTAACCATGGGAAAAAATAGATTAAAAATACTCAGACGAGAGAGGAATGTAAGTTAAGCCCACTCTTTTTTTCTGTAGTTTATAAACAAATATTTTTCCTTCACTATTATTTTACTATCCATCATCTGGAAAAGATTCTCAACTATTGAAAAACCAATTACAACTAAAAGGGAAAAAAATTCCTCATTATAATTTGTTTACTTTTCTAATTGACAGATGATATGAATAGTGACAAATTAATTAGAGAGAAATAAGTTCTCTACATCTTTTTGGATGACTATTTTTGGATGACACAAATCATTACCTGAAAGTATATTTTCCTCTTTGCTTAAAAGTCTCAGTAACTAGGCTGGTCTCATTCTACATAAATACATTTTTTTTTAGATTAGTCCCCTCCACTGCACCTAACAGCAAAATTCAACCTATCCCACTCATAGAATCAATGAGTAAAAGCATGCATTGAAAACTGTAGTCCCATTCATTAGTAATGTTACTTATTATAATACCTTTTACTAAATAAAATCTATGTTCATCCAGTGCAATAAAAAGCCATGCTTTCAACTACATAAATTACAAAAATTTTGGATGGCCATCATACATTGGCAAAATCCATGGAAAGAATTCACAATTTAAGGAGATTTTAGTACCTGATCTCTCTGAAGAGCATTGTTAATTAACTTCAAGCTTTGCACAGCCTCCATGATTGACTGCCTTCAGTAGAAATCTATTCCTGCTGCAAACCTTCCTCAAAATACAATGATGCCAAAGCAGAGTTTCTGAGTAAAGGCTTGTTAGCAGATTATGTAAGGTTTCCATTTTTCTAAACTGTAACAAAAAGGAATTTATCATCCTGCTCCTCCTAATTTTCTCTTTTACAAAGAACCCCCACCTGGCCTTCAAATATAAAGCATGTTGATTGTTTTGAAATAAGGATAGTGAATTGAAGAAACCGGGTAAATCATAGTTTGTCATGTCCCTCAACTCCTTACATCATGGCATATTATGCATCCACAGTCTTTCCCATGAACTTATTTGCTTTATTTCTTGTCTAAAGAAACAACATGAGTCTCTCATCATCCTGTCTTACATTTCTTTCTTTAAGGATCAAATCCTACAAATCATCAGTCTTCAAGCAGATGAGAAAAATATAACAATTTTCCTTTAATGAAAGCACGGGTGACACTAATGCTAGTATTAAATATCTTTACTACACACTTTTTAGTGTCTTTTAGTTTAACTATACAGATATACACAATCATAGAGGACTAAAATATTTAATGCATTTGCTTGAAGTATACCACTCATTTCACTGAAAGATTAGCTATATATATTTGAAATGAGTAGTAATTATGCCACTCTTTTAGTATACTACTTTTGCTATGTATTATGTGCACCACTTAGGAGAATTTAATTTGTACTGTTTCTTTCATTAAGGGGAAGCTTCCACTAAAACAAGCCTTTTTAAAAAATAGTTGTCTTTTCTGAGTTTTATTGTCCCATAATTAACCAGTGTATGTGCTATTCACACAAGAGTGCCAATTCACTGCGATCAGCTCGGAGCAAAGTTCAAGTGAGGGCTAACGATGTCTTAAACTTTTATGGAGGAAAAATATGGCAAAGTTAGTGGCTGTGATCCTGTGATACAATCAGATTGAAGTGAACTTAACCAAAATGCCCTCAGAGATGGCACTTCAACAACATTACATGCTTCTGAGAAGGAAGGGATAACTTAAGGTCACTTATTTTTACCTGGGTAATTTGGAAAACAGCCTGTTGCATACACTGCTAGGATGTGGGATTACTTTGCTGTTAAAATCTTTGCTCTGACATTGCAATTTACTATTAGAAATGTGGCTTTCTGCTGTGAATGCCATATGAAATGGAAACAAAACCCCAAAACAGTAAGGGCTTGGTAACACAACTACAGGATGAGCTGTTTGAAGCATTCTAAATTCTGTGTGAGCAGCTAGAGATGTTCTATAATAAAGCAGCTTTCTTGAAGCATGTATCTCTTTAATGATGAATTTTTATAAGGGAAGTATTTGGCTGTGTTTAGATGGTATTTTACACCTGAAGTCGAGAAACTGATTTTAAAAAAACCAGGTCAATCTACGAGGATGGAACTATCATTAAATCTTACTGACATCCCTGTATAGATGCAATAAACTCTCCAAATAAACCACGATGCAGTGTGGTGACTTTCAATGACTTTTAAATTACAACCACAGGAAAAATATCCCTATAATCTTCTATGGAATGTACAGATCAGGGGAGGTAAGCACTACTTTTGGATTTCCAACTTAGATCATATCTGGCGTGACTTTTCAGATTAGTCAAGTACCCACACGTCCAACTTCATCAGCTCACAGACTGCGGCAGACACTCCACACATTACAAATCAGGGTAGGAATTTTCGGGGTTTTTTTGAGCAACCTGAAAATTCTTTCTCAGTTTTGAAATTCCTTTGTGCTAATCTCACCTAACAATCCAGTGATAGATTTACAAGAAGAATGAAATATTTTATGACATTCATTTCCATGTATTAAGTGATATTAAGATGATCATTAGAGAAGAGGGAGACAGCTAACAGAACTGCAGGCTATATATAGACAGTGGTTCTTCCATTCCATCAGAGAATATATTAAATGTCACATTCTGTTGCACAGCCAATTAGAGAGGTAAGCATGACAAAAAAGAGTTTTCCTGCTGGTTTTGTTACCAGCACAGCATGGTATCAAAAAAAGAGACAGTGCTACCCAGCCAGGAACAGACTGCAGTAGTGCTAAAATATTTTAGCCTTGAACTAAGATAAAATGCAAATACAAAGCAGTTAATTTTAAAATAAGTATAATATTAACTGAAATTGTGAAGAGTTAATAATTTGATCTCATATTTAAGTAAAAGACATCTGCAGAAGAAAGCAAACTATGGATTTTGCCTGCCAGAATAATATGCCAAAGTGAGATATAAGTAAAAAACTGAATAATGCTGAACCAAGCATCTGACAATATAAAATTTTAAAACCAAAATTATTCTAAAGAACACTAAATGTAGTGTATAAACAAGTCTTCTTTGGCCCTCAACCTTTCAAAATGATATAACAACTATCTTAACCTAATGCCCTGTGCAGATGACACTGGAATTATCACTTCTATCCATTCTGTTTTAAGGATATTTTAATTAGCAAAGCAGTATGTAATTCTACTTAGTAAATATAATCATCATTAATTGAGGTGAAAGTAACATGTTCATCATCTAGAAGGCAAAGAAGGCCAAATTTCTCAAAAATGGTTTAAAAGACTGGGGGAAAAAAGGAAGTATAAGAAAACAAGCAAAATTAATCCCATGAGACATCAGCATATTTTCTTTAAAATGTCTCAGTGCAAAGTCTCAATAAAATGTACACAATTTTTCTCCCTCTGTTTCTAGTTTAGGCAAAGAGAAAGAATGTCAATATCTTTCTTACAATAAATCAGATTTTTTTTTTTTTATGAGGAGGAAGGTAATGAGAAAAAAACAACAGAATCTTGTAATAGGGAATCCTAAACTCATTTTAAAACTGAACTCAATGGAAATTTAGCACTGAAAAGTTTTGCACAGGCAAGGTAAATCTTTTATATTGAACAATGCTAAATCTAGAAGGTAGGTAATTACTTTAGAGCTGTATAATACAAAATTACTTTTTTGCTACTGAGTAGCTAAAATTTAGGCTTTTTTTCTCCTAAAACATGTATTTCCATATTTTTCTATGTTTTCAAAGATAAGTGATGCAGTGATGCAGTTTTGCTGACAAAACAATTGCATTAATGAGCTGTTCTTTTTGTTAAAACAACTGAGGAGCCTTTGATAAACTGAGAGCAGCAGCATTTGAGGCTCTCAAAAAGTTATTAGAGAAGTAACATAGGAAAAGGTGTGAAACAGGGTCGTCTTCTTCCTGGCAACCTGGAGCTTACTATGCAATTCCTTTATTCTCATGAAGTTTATATTTCAAACAACCATTGGCTTGTGTACTCTTACAGGACAAGCAACAGAAAGATAGAGAGATCTGCTTCAAATACCAGAGAAAATAGTAAATAATTTTCTTTCCTCCTCAATTAGTTATCTTAACATTTTACCCAGTAATTGTGTTTATGGGATAAAGTAGCTGAAGTGACAACTTCACGTATTGCAGCCTAGCATCTGTCCTGTGTTCCTTGTTGAAAGGACTTAATACAGAATAAAGATCATGAGGCTTTCAACTTGAAAAATCAGTGTTTCTCATACCTTTTGTTTGATGATCATGTCGTTGATGTCATCAAGATCACCTACTTTCACTCTCTGAGATTTTATCTCTCGATCCAGTCGAGAAAGCCAGTCAGTGAGTTCTGCCCATGCCTTATTGAAATCAGCCAAGGCTGGAACCTCCAAAAGCACAGAAGATGGCATTTCTGGTTTGAAGGTGGTGGTTTCCTTGGTTACCCTGGTTTGTGTATCCACAGCAACAGTTTCACCAGGAGTTACTGGAAAAAAAAAAAAAAGAAAGCAAAAAAGAAAAAAAGAAGCTAAAATTACTGAATAGATGAATTATGATGTTTATACCAGTATTTCAGAATTTATTCCATAGAAAGGATAAGATAGAAAGAGGTTTATTTCTTGATACTATCTCTACTGAAAATATGAAAATCAAAACTAAAAGAAAATATGAATTCATTTTTTGTCCCACAATATTTCTATTATAATATCTGCTTTACATCCATCATTCTCAGCATATTCAAATTCCATCCTTAGAAGATCAGCTGGACCTAGTAACACTAGCAAAGTTCACAGTGTAATATAAACCCCTCGCTAAAGGTCACTGAAAAATGAGCAATTTTCCAAAAATCTGCTAGTGTGGTCAGATCTTGCTATGCCAGAAGACAGATTGAAAAAAGTTGGTTGGACTATGCAACACATCATAGCAGGACCATGTATTCAGAAATCAGTTTCCTCCACTGTGTCCCAGTCACTCTGTAGCTGAGAAATTGTCAGACCAAAAATCTTCTCACTTTCTGTTATCACCAAGTGCTTCCCATAGGCTCTGTGGACAGTAGGGAAGCTTATACTACAAGAAATTCAGCCTTGATTAATTGTTTACTTTTCCACCTCATAACTTAAAAATATTATGTGCTATTATTTGGATATTTGTGGATTTCTTTTTTCTTTCTTTTTGGAGAAAACAGACACATCTTCTTAGTGTCTTTTCCTCATCTATTAGCTATGGGTTTTATATAATCTGTAAATTATTCATTGCTTGGAATGGAGAAGTACCCAACACTGAAGCACATTTTCTGTCTCTGCAGCAAAAATGACGAGAGGTGCCATAGACAGATACCATTAGACAGAGAAGTATGGAACATAAAACCATTCAGAAGTTCAAGACTGATCTTTTTTCCTTAATTTCTGCTGTTTACAAAGAGATGGCTATGAACTGTTGGGCTACTTTTGCCCTTCAGTTAATGATGCAAAAGCAATTCCTCGTGTGCAATATTATTGCAGATGAGGCCACACTAAATTATATTTGGTTATTTTTTTTCCTCAATTTTTAAAAAGATCAACCAAAGATGAAAAACTAAAACAGAGCAAAGAGAAGAAAACATGGCATTGCTTCACTGAGGTTCTACAGTATTAGAAAAGAAACTAAATACCTACACTTTAGAATCTCTCTCTGAATCAGCTGTTGAAACACCAATAACTGAACCAGAAGGGCTGAAATAAAACCGCTGTGGAATGTGTTCTACATTTTCTAGCACTGAAGCACTAATTTCTAAAGTTTTTTTGACTTTTAGGTGCAAAAAATACAGGTTTTTTGCATTTTTCCCAGTCTTCTAACAGAGTAAGCAGTTAGGAAACTGCCCTTTTCCTGTAAGATACCTTGTCTTCAACAAAAGCAAACCAAAACATCAAAACGGTGTAACCCCATGCACAGTAAGCTTTTTGTTTTGTTTTGTCTTTCCTACTATTACTTTTGAAAGTCGAATGGCTTTCCATTGACATTCATGCCATTACAGCAAAGTCTATTTGAAATATAAAAATCCAGGTTGTGGGTCAGGGTCCAACAATTTTTCCATAAAGCCAAGGCCTCATATTTCCTCTGTGACTTCAGAAATTCTTAGACAACAGGAAAACAGTAGCCTAATTTGCCATTCACATAGGTTAAACAGAAGTTGCCTCATTTCAGAGGAAATTTTTCTCCTCATCAGTATTCAGGTAAATTGAATAGTTTTCTAAACTGGGACATCCATCAGTAGATTTAGGGTGTCTGAGACAACTGCCTGGCATCTCTTTGCATCTCATGTATTTTGACCTGAGTACACAATCATGAGTTCACCAATTAATATCTATTTATTTATTTTTCCCCCCAGTGGCAGCCATTTCAGAAAAGGGTGTCCCTGATCTTCTAATGTTTATGGGTTAACTGATCTGGATTTTGGCTTATGGGTTTTCCATTGGGCTGGTTTTTGTGTGGTTTTGTTTCATTATTTTTGGTGTTTCTTCCTTGATGTAGGTCTTTTGTATCACAAAACTTAAAATATTACAAAAAAATGATTGTAAGGTACAAGCAATCTGTCCTCTGTCAGTATAATATGTTCTCTAAAAACTTCAAGATCTACCACCATCTACTGTCATCTAAGGATGACAATGATCTGTTCCATTTCAACTGACGATTAGAATATTTGAATTATCAAATTATTTATAAAAATTTCCTTTAGAAAGTGTTTGTACAGTGTTTCACACTTAGAACAGTATCTATCCCTTATTATGCTTTGGTTATGCTTGCATAGATGTGACACAGTTCATTTAACATAACTGTACAAATGAGCGACTAAAAATAATAGACAAATATAAATCAATATTAACAACATAATATGCAGCCACAGATCTCATTCTGAAAAAAATTATCCAGAACTCCACTGAGTTTCTGTGACTCAAAGCGGACAGTTTGTTGCTTTTGGTTTTTGTGGGGACTTTTTATTATTAGTTTGATTTTCATTTTTTCTCAGGACAATGCATTTATAAATGCAGAACTTGAATAATTTAATTGGTTTTTTTTTCAAATGTCTGAGTAATAAATCCCAGCCCAATGAAGCATTCCATAAAAACAGTAAGACACTTCATCTTTCAACTTATTTGAAAGCTATAATGGTTCACTTTCATGATATGATAACCAAAAAGTCTATTAGAATTTAAGATATTAAACTACACAAATATTAGTTTTTTAAGGTGATTTATCATTAGCACTTTCTGCTCTTTAACAAAGAAGAAAACAACACAGAATTAAATTAATCTGTAATGTTAAACTTGAAGAGTTAGAATAATTGGAATGCATAATGAAATTGAAATTCAAATATTGAATGCAAACCCAAGTAAAACAGAATGAAGCCAGTTGCAAAGAAAGAATTTTCCCTCCTTCTTTTACTCTGCTTATTTCAGTGTTATGTTTCAAGAGAGGGTCAAACTGACAAGTCAAAACAAACAAAACTCCTTATTTAGGTACTGAACAGGAACTGATCAGTCAGGAAGAATGACAATGCTTTCAAAAGCTTCAAAGCCCTTCAAACACACTCTTTCAAGCCACAGTCTTTAAGCAGGACTGCCTCAGTTCACAGGAATGCTCCTCTCCATCCTTCCCAATGCTTTTAGTGGTGGTGAAGTTGTAACTGTGTAAGGTAACTGCATTTACTAGGTCAAAGCTTTTTGACAAAGAGGAACTAACACATTAACTGGATGTGGATTTTAATTCAATCTGCATGTCTAGCCTAGTTGGGTTGTTAGTTCCATTGTTAGCTGCACCAATTAAGGGAAATGCCAGCCTTAAATCCTTCATGCAATGAATAGGAGTAATATACACCCACTAAACTTCATTCTGGTTTTAGTCAAGGAAACTGAATTTGCTATTTTAACACAAGCACCACTGACTTTAGTGGCAGAACAAGCAAGAATTCCCTCTTTGGGAAACGAGCCATTCATGGGCTGGGACACTGCACACCAAGTTGGTTTGGCTTATTACATGGGAAATTTCAGTGTCATTTTACCAGCACCCTATCCTTGTGAGCTTGACTTGGAACAACTAAACTCCTCAACACCACACAGGTGAAATTCTGTCAGCTACTAAAATGCATTTTGCCTTTTAATATTTTTTTTAATATTTTTTTGTTCTTATGCTGGGGCACTGCAATGAGTTTTCTACAGAGTTAGAGCATCCATGACCATATTCTTAAACTCTAAACAGACTTCTTGGAGAGAGATCTGGAAAGACAGTTCTGAGACTGATTTATTTAGACTTGTTCCAGTGATAAATGGTCTCATCTCTGTCTGTCCTTCAACATTAAGGAAATAAAGTTAAGAGTACATTAAGTTCTCCCATTCAGTACAGCCTCTCCCTGCAAGGTGCTCACTGCCAGTAACACTTTTTGCTGAGGAGCTACAGCTACCTGACAGGTGTTCCAGGTCATAAAGGAGTTCTGAAAGGAAAATAATAGTGGCTGACAGAGCTCTGATTAAAGATTATGAAAAATATAAATTTATTACCTCAAAAAAAAGCTCACCAACTCAGAAGTCTGAAAGCAAGGGATGTTTTTTTCTAGTGATCTGAACTGAAAATCAAGTCTTTATGTTGATCAAAAATTATTGCCAACAAAATTCCACCCACAGCTCTAAATGTAGAAAATATGCATCCTTAGAGCATTGTATCTCAAAGCTAACGTTTTCTTAAAATTTTAATCAACTTTTAAAGACAAAAGTCATGTTTCAAAGTGAGTCTTTTCTATTTTAACACAACACCAATGTTTGATTTTCTTAGCCTTGAATATTTAGTAAAAAACACTTCCTAGAAAAAGAAGACTTGGTAACTGTATCAGGTCCATTTCATATCCAGTAATTTTTATAGACTATAAATGGGTAAAAGTTTTATTCCTAATTTCATGAACACTTAGGGAACATTCACATTACTGTTACTGTTATCCGTTTAAAATACAAGTTAAGTGCTTAGCTACCTTTTTATTCTAGAAGTTCTTTATGACTCTTAAGAAGTCGTTATGGATTATATATAATTTTAATTATTACAGGTAGAAGAAGCTCATAGTTTATGGGATTATTAATTAAAGTTTAGATCTAAAATAGTCTTCATAGTGAGATGAAGGGGATGAAACAAAAGACGCCTTAGAGGTTCAAAAGAAAGTATAAAGTCAAGGTTAAAAATCTTAGGAGAAAAAGATTTACAGTGAATGTGTATTGCAATATTTGAGGAATAACCACAAAAGTTATGGTTTCTAAAATATTACTGTTAATATTACTAGATTTTTAAACAGCGTAAGGACTTTTAATTTAGCAGAAAGATAAGTGTCAGCTTTCTCAGACTTTTCTTTCTTTGTCATAAGACAGATGTGGTTGGATTTTCTTACCAACCTCCTTTTTATATCTAGGAGTGTGGATAAGCTGTTTATTTTCCAATGCATTTTTCCAAGTTCCTCCAAACACTACA